TCATAGATAGATACTGAGAACAGACTGACAGCTGTCAGAGGGAAGAGGAGTTGGGAACTTGGGTGAAAAAGGTGAAAGGATTGAGGAAACAAGCAAACAAAATAGACACGAGCAACAGTATGGTGTTTCCCAGAGGGAAAAGAGTGTGGGGAAAGATGGAAGAAGGGCAAAGAGGGGGTGAACGGTGGTAGGAAGAGACTTTACTTTGGGTGCTAAGCACATGATGCAGTATGCAGATGATATATTACAGAACTGTACACTTGAAACCTGTATGGTTTTGTTAACCAATGTCACCCCAATAAACTCAATTAAAAAAAGAGCTAGGAAATAACCAAATATATTTTCCAAAAGGATGTTCTTGTTTAGTACAAAAAGATCTACTAAAACAGGAGACTATAGAATCAAATTTTTGGAACAGCACAAATACTACCACAGAGTTGCAAACTGACAGCCTAAAGACTGGCCTCTTTCCTTTGACTTCCTAAATATGTGAATATAATTTTGAATCTTCCACTAAAAACAGGTACTCCTAATGCCCAGAACATAGTATGTGCTTGATAAATGAAACATGAATTTTAAAATAAAAATTTACATACAAATACAGAAGTCCAACCCTTCTTAAAAAAAAAAAAGGAATATCTGACTAAATCAAGGCAACATTCTGCAGTGATTATGCTGTTTAGATGGGCAGATGTTTTCTAGTTCACCAGGGTCTACACCTTAACATCTTACACTCGTCCCACTCATTCATATTTTGTGCCCAGTCCCTCTGAGAGACTCAAAAAGCACATCGTTATATTAAAGGCTCTGAGAAGGCCTACATACATCTATGTGCACAAGTGTGGCAGGTATATATCTTGAAATAAAAATACTGAATCAATGATATGCGTATCTTCAGCTTTTCTAGATATTTTCAAGTTGTTTTTCCATGTGACTCTACCAATTTACATTTTTACAAGTGTGTCTTAAGAATTTGTGCTTTTTTTTCCACCCTCACCAATAATTGTATCAGTACTATTTTCTAATGGTATGGGCATGAAATACTATATTATTGTTGTTTTAATTCTAATTTCTCTAACTGACAAAGCTGAGTACTTTTCACTTATTTGTTTTTCCTCATCTCCAAACTGTCATTGCCTTTTTATATCTTCAATCCAGTTTTAAAAATTAGTTTGCCTTTTGTTATTTTGTATTAGTGTGAAATACTTTGGATATCAATTCTTTATCAGCTTAAATATATTGCAAATAATGATGTTTTTATATACCATTTACTCCAGCTTTGTTTTTTATTGAAAACAATTAGAAAGTAGGTCCATCAGTAAAAAGAGTTACAGAAATTTTGCTATGTTTTTATAAGAAAACTGTATAGTAACTATGATTATCAAATAAACATAAACTAACTGTAAAACCACAATGTTATATAAAAACAAATGGCAAATGGATATGCATGGAATTAGATCATTTTGTATAATTTAAAAAACACAAAGCAATACTACCTATAGTTTATGGGCAGCTACACATGCAGTAGGTATATGAAACCACCTTGGGAAGGAGGCAAACCAGCATAAGGATAATAGCTTTGGAGGTTGGAGAAAGCAGGGAAGACTGTCAGTGGGAATAGGAAAATGGGAAGGGTTCCCCCATTTTATTTCCTCTGGATGGACAGAGGGGCACCCAAAAGCACAAATGTCAGTGCATAAATATGGGCTGTCAGTTATATTCTGGTCTGTGATATTGTTTTCACCTTTTGTGGCTGTCTGAATCACTTCATATACACACTTATATACGCATACATCTATACACATATTTTAGTTTTAAAGAGCTCAGGAAAACACAGGGTGCAATGCCAATGAACAATAGAATTCCTTATTATTTAAAAAATAAATTAAATATGGGTGGAGGGGAAGCCTTCTTTAATTTTTTATATTCAGTGTTTCCCAAAATTCAATGTCTCTTGCCCATGAGACTATTCCCCTTCTCTATTTTTTCTTTACTTCCTGTACTCTGGGCTACAACAGTCCACAGACCACACACTGAGAAGTAAAATGTTTGTGAGACAGAAAAGCTCAGAAATAAAGATAAAACAGTAAGTTCACTGAGTTAATGTCAGATTAAGTTTGATTTTGACTAACACTAAGAATAAGTTGTAATGTTTGACTTTCCGTTTTACTTTTTTGTTTTGCTTTTAAAAAATTAATTGAATTTGTTTTTAGAGTAGTTTCATGTACAGAAAAACTGAAAGTACAGAGAGTTCCCCTATGTCCCCTTACACTTGCCCGGCCCACTGTCCTCTGTTCCAGTATATTACATTCAGTAGCAAAGGCACACCCGTAATTCAGAAGCCAGTGTTCAAGCACTGCTTCACTGTAAACATCTACTCTTCAAGACACCTTGCTTTGAGAACTACTGATGTAGATAATTTTTTAATTCAATAGAAACCATACTTACTCCTTAAAACTTATAACTTCATAAGAAAAACTCTAGCTATTTCAAAATAAAGAACTGTATTTCTTTAGTAAATGTTTTGCTGCACAACTATTTTGAGCTAAGCAATTTTCTTACCAAGGCCAACAACTACATTACTATTCAAATAAATAGAATAATCAGATACTATAAACACTTATTTTGTTTACTCATAAGGATAGAATGATTTAAAAATAAGCACCATAATACACTGGATACTGCTCTAAAAAGTACATAAATTGCCATTTTTAGGACCTGCACAACTTCATTATCATTTTGCAGCAGTATTCCTAAGCTATTCGGAGAAGAAAGGGTACACTAAAGCTAATCATTTGTATAGAACTTTGTAATTTAAAAATACATTTATTTATGTGTTTTATGTTACCAGGGGAGAAACGGGTATTTCATACATTCATGCCATTCACAGCCCAGAGGATAACAATTATTCTACCCATTTTACAAAGACTCAGAGAAGTTCAGTGTCATTGGACTGATCTAAGTCACATCTCAAGTAAGTGACTGAATCAGAACCTGAGTATGTGAACCCACAACCCCTCATTAGGGATTATAAACAGAACTCACCTCAAAGTTACTTGAGAACACAGGAATGTAATTCATGCCAAGCATTGGTGAATTTCCATTAGTATTATCATTTCTAATTTTTTAAAAAATACAACATCATCCTGATTATAGCTTAACACAACACAATACCCAGCTTTTCAATACAAGGGAAATATTTTCTAACTTCTCAATTTTTTTTAGCAAAGACTTTTGCTAGGTGCTTGGTGTTTTAAAATAACCTATGTGAGGAATTTCAAATATGTTTTGCTTCTTTTTGCTAGACAGTTCTTGTTTAATCACACAATGGAGGTGGTCTCAGATATTTAGGTCACTATAAGCTTCTGGGCTCTTTTGTTTTCCCCGCCTTTTTCCTGAGGATAACTAACATCTTGACATTTGACCAGTAACAGTATGACTATTTCTTGCAACTATCAGTTGGAGTTTTTAAGTTATGATTGTAAAGGTTTAGTTATGACTTCAGAGGAAGAAGGAAAAACTGAAAACTTCTTTAGAAATATTTTTATCCTTATGTTCAAACCAAGCTTATTGTTGAAGACAATAAAGGCTGTAATAACACAGAGAACCTTCTTAGAGGACTCATGGGTAACCAAAGCTATGTGTTTTACTGGGTGAAGATGCATCGTGACCAGTCTCACATTGGATTTTTCATGGGACCCTGAATTTCATGTAATTCTATTTTTTTCATGGAACTTTAGGTAATGAATACAATGTGATTTATTAGAGAAATGAGTCTTCAAAATTCAGATATTTCCAGGATTACCCAAATTTTGAATCCACAAAGTAAGATGTTGTTCTATAAAGTGGAGATGAGCTAAATGCATCTGTAACTTCCTGGCTGCACCACTCAGAGTTCAGATACAAACCTCTCTCAGCACTCTAATGTGGCTTCTCTGTTCCTCCAAATTCACATAGACATCCCTACTTAATATGTCTGGAAGAATTCTTGCTACTTGTTTGTGTTCAATAAACACTACCATTTAGAATCTAACACAGTAAGTAAAATAAGCCATCTGTAAATGCTACATGACAGTTGCTCTGTGTCCAAAAGAAGCAGATGCAAAACCACAAAGATTTAATGAATAAAGAACATATCACATCAAAGCAATCATATTGCTTGGTACTGAGAAGCAGAACGTGAAGCTGAGTCATACCTTGGGACCTTGATGTCTGTTTCCAGCTTAAGGACAGGAAGGGTCTGATTTATTCATCAGCTGCTCATCAGTGGCCAGCCTTGTGTCTGACAGATGGTAGGCAATCAGCATGTATCTACCGAATCAATGATTGAATAAATGAGTGAGTGAAGGTAAAATGACTGTACCAAACAATGTAAAAAAATAACTTATTGTAGAAAAACAATTTATTCTACATTTAAGGAAAAAATATAGGCTGTGTTGAGACGCCTGCAAGATTTAAGTAGCTTCAATCCTTGAAACAGTCCTGCAAATTACCATTTACAACTTACTATGATAATACTACAAAAGTCACTCTACGGTAATCTGACTCCATGACTCAGAAATGGACAAGGCACTCAGTTGACCTAATCTTTAGTCAACTTCAGTAAATTCCAGAAATGCAAAGGTCATTTATTATGAGAAGGTGCTGGAGACAATCACACAACAAAATACAATGCAACATGAATGGGGCTTTTAAAGGTAGGGTTAGCTCATTAAAAAACATGATATCCACTGATGAATTTACAAATGTTACAAAACATAAAGAGGAAGATTGAAGACATCTCAGAATAGTGAAACCCAGATGGTTGGAGAATTACTGGGCAGTCCAGATTTTAGTGAACAAAACCTTATAAATAATCCTAGGAATCAAAGTGATTTGTGTGTTCCTCAATGGTACATGGTCCATCTCGACTTTGTCTCCAAGTCACTGAAGATCTAATTCTGCTTCTACCTTTGCAAATAAGGTCATTGCCACACTGACTTTTTCCCATTTTATTTTAGGCCCTGCTGCAAAAAAGAAGTACGTCAGTTATAATAACCTGGTTATCTAAGCTGTTCCATTCCTTGGAACCATGGAGGAGGAGGACCCTCAGTTATCTCGTCCCCCAACCTGGCATAGGACTCTTTTGTCCTGCCCGCTGCCATCACTGGAGGAGCATCCCCAGCTGGGAGACCAATGTGAGAGGATCCAAAGGTTCTACACAGCTGCTTTATGAAATATCCCCACTTTCTCTTGGCTTAATAAGTCAGTGGCATCAGCACTGCCAACTTGGCTGCAATTTTGGACCTGCCCTGCCAAGGGAGTGTTGAGACTCAAGTCCCACCTAGGTTCTCTAGGATGAACCACTGAGAGCCACAGTGATGTTTTGGGGCTGACCTGTCTTTCTACGTATGTACTTCCAGGTTGCAAGGTTTTGAAACTTTCTGTACAGTTTGTGAGGACTTTTGCACTTTGCCATCTGATGTTGTACCTCAGTTCACTGTTTGTTTTCGAATGCCCTGTTTTCATAGAGCCCTATTCTCTCAGACGGTGACATATCTGGGAAAATTTTAAAACGATTAAAAATTTAAAAAGATCTCGGCAGACTAAAAGATAAGTTTAAACCACATATGTACATGACTGTATAATTATGATTATAGTACAACTGCAAATCATGTTATTTTTTTTAAAGACAAAAAAGATACTTAAAGACCAATAACTGTGCTGATAAAGTAGATCCCACCTATCTATCATTGGTAAGTGATAGGTCACACAAAAGGAAGTTATGGGCTGAACTGAATAGAGGTCTTGATCTTTGGAATGCATGCCCGTAATGTATTTTACAGTACATGTTAATAATATGTTCAATATTTGTATTTGTGTTCTCTTCTGTTATTTTATTTAGGGTATATGGATATTTTGCAATAAATTTAATAATGATTAAGCTATTTGGAGAAAAGAATATGGATTTTTCACGTCTTGAGGTTTTGTTCATGCCCCTCTATGACTGACCAGTGTGATAAGGACTTTATGAAAAAAAGCATGTATGTTTTTTACTGTTTGTAATAAGTACTTTCGTTAATCTTGCTGCTTATGTGCCAATTTAGTGGAAAAACACCCTTGCTGAAAAATTCCTTCTTTCCATTCTCTTTCAATTCTGTGATATTGTCCAAGAATGTATCAATAAAATACTTTGGTTAAATTTTTTACTTTCTGCAATAAATATTTTTAGTTGTTTATCCCCTTTTAGTTACAGTTTATTTCATAAAATCTGAAGTTAGGGAACAATGGGGACGAAATTTGTTAAAGGAACAAGCCTGAGATCACAATTATAGCCATACCTGGAATGCATATTAAAAACTCAAAGGTCTAAAGTCTCTCAAGAGGAGCTAATACAAAGCCCATGCATTTTGCTTTTTCATAACTGAAGTTGAAATCTGACAACTTCAGATTTACTCAGCAAGTTACCTGTCAAAAACAGCAAAGTGCCAGAGGAAAGAGAAAAAAAGAAGTACTAGCTTCAGTAAATAGCAGTCTGGAGACAGTTTAGTGAAAAGATAAACATTTCTGCAATACTCAAAGGACATAAGTGAGTAAAGATAACCATTATAAAGCATTTGTCTACATTTGCAAACAGATATGGTGGCCATGTTATTGATGACAAGATTATGATTCAGGATTCCCAAAACTCGACATTAGGAAATACCCTTATGAGCACACAGGGATGGACCCCCAAAATCCAAAGTGTATGTAAATGACCCATTGTGCATCTAACTGCGACTAATAACACCCACACCTGATTCCACCTTTACAATCCACAGGCAGGGTCCTGCTGTCTCTCAGCTTTCTCAGCCCAAGTAGTTGTGCAAAGATTAAGAAATTCATTCCAACAGCAGACTGAGAAAAACTCTCAGTTTTCCTTATTGCTCCAACACCCTTTAAATGATAAACCATGGAAAAAATGGTGTATCAAAACAAAAATTTTGGATTATTCACATTTTCAAGTTGTAGAGACAGCCCACTATACAACCTGGCTCCTCTCCTGCTAGCTGTCCTTGGGGATGTTTCATAAATATTCTGAATCCTCCATTTCCTCAACTGAAAAATAAATTAATACCACTACTTATCTCAGAGGGTTAAGAGGGTTGGGAGATAAAAACCCAAGCAAAGGACAGCCCTGGCTCGTATAGCTCAGTGGATTGAGTGCAGGCCTGTGAACCAGAGTATCACGGTTCGATTCCCAGTCAGGGCACATGCCTGGGTTGCAGGCCAGTTCCCAGCAGGGGACGCATGAGAGGCAACCATACATTGATATTTCTCTCCCTCTCTCCTTCCCTTCCCCTCTAAAAATAAATAAAATATTTTTAAAAACTCATGCAAAGGGTTGAGGACAGTGCTTGGCGCATGGCTAACTTGCCATACACATTACCTATTATAACCACCACCACCACTGCTACCAGCAGTATCAGCACCCATCAAGGCTGTTACATTTCATCTTAAAAATAAAAGTGTATAGTGCTTCCCCATTCCAGATCTGTATCATAGCAAACAGACAAGCCAGTTTGTCTTCTGGCCATCCTATAGAAATTTCTTTTTTCCCCACAATGAAGCTTGCATAAGAGCCTATCCCACTTATTCAAATGTCTAATCATGAGGTCAGGGGAAATAACAAAATCAACCCCATTTAGGATCGGGAAGAGCTTGCTGACAAAAAAAGGCCTGTCTGCAGCTGGATCCGAAGGACAGGCCTGAGGTAACAGTCTCAAGATCATCACAAGCATAAAAGCTACAGCTTCTACAGCACTATGTACAAGACACATTATTTATATACATTATACATTTTATATACTATAAACTTTATGTATATTATATCTATTACAATGGATATTTTATAAACATCAATTTATTTAATCTTCAACATGCAGGTCTAACATCTTCCACAGCCCATACCATCAGGGCAGCAGTTGAGTTAAAGCATGACGGTAGCCATGGGACAGATCAGAGAACATTGTCCACAGTAAGCAGCATAATCAATGTTCACCTCCTCCAGCCACACAGGTTCCCTGCCCTTCTGCACACACTCCAAGCATCTCCCACTTCTCTTCTCTTGCTTAGCCCAATTCCCCCCAAATATCTGCAAATTCCACTTCCTCACTTAGTTCTAGCTTCCTCTTAAACATCATCATGTCGAAAGTCTTTTAAGACCCTAACAGGGAAGTCACCCATGCCACATCAGAGTGAATTCATCACCTACTTTATTTTTTATGACACTTATTGACTTCATAGATTTGATTTCTGGATTTTGTTGTTCCATCTGCAGTAACATCTAGGAGATAAGAAATCCTCTGTTTTGCTGTCATTTCCAGCACTTAGAACACTGCTCAACAGGTTGTCACTCCATAAACGTTTGTCAAGAAATCAGTGAAAGAAAAAAAATAGGATGAAGTTAAAGAGCTCTAGAATGTGAAATAAGGGCTGGAGGAGCCTGAACTTGTGGGGTGGCTGTGTCAGGTCAAGAGGAACTATGTCAACAGGAATTGGAGCTATGTCTTTTTTAAATTATTTTATTGTTGTTCAATTACAGTTGTTTATATTTTCTCCCTCCCCCTCCCCCCACCCCCTCCAAACCCACCTCCCTCTCTTGCTTCCACCCTCCCTTTTGGTTTTGTCCATGTGTCCTTTACAGTAGTTCCTGAAAACCCTTCTCCCCAGTGTCCCCTCCCCGCTCCCCTCTGGCTATTGTTAGACTGTTCTTAATTTCGATGACTCTGGTTATATTTTGTTTGCTTTTTTCTTTTGTTGATTATGTTCCAGTTAAAGGAGAGGTCATATGGTATTTGTCCCTCACTGCCTGGCTTTGAAGCTGGGTCTTTAAAGACAGACAAGACCCAGGTAATCAAGAGGAGAAGAGAGTGAACACTTTCCTGGGCAGTAAAGAAGAGAGCTACTTCTATCAGGTGTGGTTTCTTTTCATCAAAAATGAACCTCTTTCTTAGGAAGTAAAGTGGAAACTTGAGATACAAACCCTTTCATCTGAAGAAGGCAAACACAGGAGGTGGCACAGCAGTGACTCAGAACCAGAGCACCTGTGTTAGAGAGCCGAGCTCCCCCACCAATCTGCTGGGCTGCCTCAGACCATGCACACAGCCCTGAAATCCTCAAATCTCCATCCTTACAGCAGACATAGAACACGAACTCAAGTTTTTTCATTCATTGGGCCAGTCTGTTTGAACCTGATCCGGAATGTTGATTTCACAATCAAAATGTGCTCAAGTCTGAACAAAAAAATTTTGAAACAGTGTTAGAAGCAATTGCTGGGTACAAGTAGGAAAGGATAATTGCTTCTTTGCTGTCAATGAGATTAACTCAGACTAAGATATCCAGCAGGGCATTTGGCCACCATTTTACACAAACAAATGCAATTAGGCTCCAATAGACTAAAAATCTCTCAACCCCTCGATAACATAGCTGCTGCTATGTTATTTCTAATTTGACCTTTTTTCCTCTTCTAAATTATCCTTCTGTAAAATTTGCATTATCATGCCATCTCTTGACTGTTTAGATCCTGATAATTATACCAATTCTCTACTCTTCTAATCCCCAGGGTGGTGATGAGTCTGCCTCAGCCAAGGCAGTGATAACATTCAGGAGAAGACAGAAGCTGGAGTAGGCCCTTGGGGCTTCCACCAGAGATCCATGACTTTGCTGACTTTGGTGCATTAATCAACTTTACATGGATATAGTTATGGTCATTTCTCTAGTTAGAATCCCCACCCACTAAAAAAAAAGCAGAAACAATCATCTTGTATCGCTTTTTTTTTTTTTTGCTCAATAAAAAAGAAGAAAGTAACCAAAGCAAAGGACATCTTCCATGCCTTGTGAGTCAACACACTTTTATCTATGGTGTTTCTCTGACTCTGTGTCACAGAAGAGAGGTCAGACCAACAAGCCTATCATTCATGAACAATGAGTGGCTTCTGGGGATAACTTCTTTCCTCTCTAAGTGTTAGTGAGACATTGGCCTGGATTCTGCCAGGGAATTAAATCAGGTTCATAACTTATCCACAAGGTCTTTCATTGATGAAGTTCTGGTCATTGCAATACCTCATGACACTGAGCACACTCCCACTCCCCAGGACTCCCCACAGGGAGAGTGGGGAGGACAGGGCATGTCTCAAAACCTGGAGGAAAGCCCTTGTGTCTTCATGATTCCAAACTCATCCCCAAGGCCTGGGATCAACCATTGGTTGCCAACCTTGATTTTAACCTAGTGGTCTATTATGTTTGGCCAATAGCAATAATGTGACTACTGCCCAAGGAGGTAAGGGAAACTCAAGCACATAAGTGTTAGAGAACACCCTTTTCTCTCATTCATGTGACCTGCCTGCCTGTCATCTGCCTTTCTTTGACCCTGAACCTTCATTATACTTCACGTCTCATATGTCAACATGT